CCACATCGCAATCGTATTTCGCGAATATATCGTAATTTCTTTTCGTGATGTGACACCCGATCCCTTTCATCGCTTCCAGGTTTTTGGTAGTCTTTGCCGAGACGTGTATTTTCTTGGGATCCACTTTCGCATACTTTATGAGTCCCTGAATGATAGCCATCGCCATCTTCCCGGCGCCCAAGAAGCCGATCTTCGCTTCCGTCAGCTCTACCTTTCCCTTCCTCTTCGACGACCCCTTCGAGTCCTTCTTCTCCTCAGACTTGGACTTGTCGTCTGCCGGTGGGGCGCCTTCAGCCGCCTTCTTGTCCTCCGAAGCCTTCTTCTCTTCCGGCGGTTTGTCTGCCGACGCGTCCTTCGGTGGCTCTGCTGGTGGTGTCGGGTCTGCCATCGGATCCTAAGTTGTGGTAAGACTTTGAATGAAGGAGTGGTTAAAGATTTACTTAACGACTGATTAGCTCTCACTTCACGAATGAATTGCTTTTCAAATCAAATCATTGAATACAACAGACATTCAAACAATGAGACCNGAATGAATTGCTTTTCAAATCAAATCATTGAATACAACAGACATTCAAACAATGAGACCATCGGTTGATGTCACGAGAGATCACTATTTCCTATCATTTCTACACTTATTTCCCATTCATTTGTCTCATTATAACAATCAGTTCATCCAATCGTCTCTTCAATATAATCACAGTTTTCAAACTTTTCACTTGTATTTTGACTTTCAATTACAGTTCGTTTTACATTAGATTTTGTAAAGATTTACTCGTTTTAGTCAAAGCTTTGAATTATAATTGATATCCAAATTGATTGAAATCCAAGTGAGGAATGGGTTGTTGTGTTTCCCAACCGAAGAGTAATCTAAAGCCCCTAAAGAAGGGAAGTGTGTTATCATTGGCGCAGTCCATGAAGATCACCAAAGGAGGTCATGCCATCACATTCAAAGTGATCCGCAAACCTATGCTCCAGAAAGAGGCCGATAGGATAGCCCGCGACCCCTCCTGTGGTCAGGACTTCCAAACAGTGTTCAATCCGCCCCTCAATGTGTGCAACAAATTGACTAAATTTGTGTATTTGTCGGGAATCGCTTCACTCACTAAAGAGAATCTCGAGAAACTTGGGATCACTTTAATAATTAACGCCACATATGAGTGGTTTAACATTGAACCCGAAAACACCACTTGTTATAGGGTTCCGGTGGGTATTGGTTTGCCTATTGATTATCACAACTAACGTGTTGTCTGATTGGGGAACAGGTGGACGACTCCGCCAACGACGACATCTCCGTATACTTCGATGAGGTCTGCGATAAGATCGAAGAGAACGCCCAAAACGGAGGCAAGACTTTAGTGCACTGTATGGCGGGTGCGAGTCGTTCAACAACTCTTGTGTTGGCATATCTCATGAAATACGAGAAAATCAATCTCAAGAATGCCTTCATTTCGGTTAAGAAGCGCAGAGAGACTGCTCGGCCTAACGTCGGCTTTTGGGAGCAACTCATCAAATATGAGATCAAAATCAGAGGCCAGGCGTCCGTTAAGATGCTTCACATGACAGTCNATCAGAGGCCAGGCGTCCGTTAAGATGCTTCACATGACAGTCGATAACATACAAGTGATAGTCCCTGACTTCTATGAGAAGGATTACCCGGATTTGTATAAAAGAGAAATTGAAAAACAACTCAAAGAAGGGAAAGAAAAACTAATTAATCCTAATTTGAAATCTAAATCACAAAAACAGTTCAACGCACAAACTAATAATTATGAATAGTATAGCTAACAAATGTCAAATGCTTGCCTTTATTTTACTACTGTATATCTGATGAATATTCTTGTTTTTGTTATTTTATTTATTTTCATATTTCTTGACTATTAATAAATGTTAAAATTCAATTAATGTGGTTTAATATAATTAAAATATTCTGTATGTGAAATATAATATCATAAATTATTATTAATATGTTTATTTGCTTTTCAAGTAATAAATACTACAACTAAATCCTATTTATCCCAAAAATTATTGTCCCAAAATGATATCAAAATTCAAAGTTGTGAGTGTTTTGGACTTTCAAACAGAGTATAGAAAATAGAGAGAGAGAGAGAGAGAGAGAGAGAGAGAGAGAGATGGCGTTAATTATTAAAGTGATCCCAAGTTTCTCGAGATTCTCTTTAGTGAGAGAGAGAGAGAGAGAGAGAGAGAGGAGATCACTAGATGGAGGAACAGATGTTGTCTATTGTATGAGTGGATGAAGAGTGCATAGAAATCTGTGTTCTAATAGCAATTTACACATCAATACATGATTCCAAAGCGTTATTCAATACAAAATGGTTTTGAGAGATCAATAGCAAAACGGATCGTTTCTATGGAAATATGCGGCATAAATGGGTGTCTCTATTGCACAATGAGTTTTATAATGAAACATTTTTATTAAACAAATAAAATAATCTTATTTACAAGCTAAATTAAAATATAATTTATGATACGTTTATTTATCATGTTTTATAAGTTTATAAGAGATATTTTGCATAAATATATTTGATCATGAGTTTTACACATAATGTGGATTTTATATATTAATTTGAATATTAAAATAATTAGTTTTTAAAGAAATTTAATTAAATAGTTAATAACATTTATAAATAATGGAAAATAAAACAATTATAGACTTAATGGTCAAGCAAATGTCATCGGATCCCATAAGCACCGTCATATCATTTTATAATTGGTGTCAATCATTTGCCGGTTTGTTATCAATGCTTTTATTTATTACTTATAACTTAGTATTAATAAATTTCTTAATATTAGAAATACTATTGTTTATAAATTGTCATAAATAAATCATAAATGTAAATATTTTAATTGATTTTTGTTAGATTGTTTATTTTGAATACAGTATGATCTTTGTTAAGAAGTTAACATTATGTTTAAATAACACTAATACACATTTATTTTATTAACTCACTTAATATAAAGAGTTAATAATTAAAACTTTATTAAAAATAATTTATTTGAACAACAGATCCAAGACTGAAGAACTGGCCGTTAATGAGTACTCCGGTTCCCACACTTGCAATACTTTTCATATACTTTATTGTCGTTAAATTTGGACCTATTTTTATGAAACAAAGACAGCCTTTTAGATTAAAATGGGTTCTAATAGTATATAATTTTGGAGTTACTATTTTCAATTCTTGGATGGCTTTTGAGGTAATTATCTAAACAATTACAATCAAAACAACTTCAATTTAACTTTAGCTTTCATATTTTCCCTATTAATAGCTGTTATATTGTGGTATAAAAAGAAGGTATAACTTTATTTGTCAATTGGTTGACACATCCAATGATCCTTTTGAAGTCAGAGTGAGTTTTACTTGTGTTTCCATAATTTCCAAATGAATACTTTTATTTTTAAAACTTTTATAGATTTAATGATTGTTTTATATAATAGTTATTTTAGTTCAAATGATTTAAAACTCACAAATTTTTTAATTACAGTATTATAAGTTAACAAGAAATTATATTTTAAAATCAATTATGATCATCTATTTTATTATAACTTATAGATCTAATGATTTAATCTTGTTCTGTACGAGTATTAATATTTAAAAGTATTACTATTATTACAGTACCATTAAACTAATTACTGTATAATTTGTGAAATATGATGGTTTGACTGCCACACAGATAGCAATTGCCATTTGGTGCTACTATTTCTCAAAGTGTATCGAACTATTGGACACAATATTCTTCATATTGCGAAAGAAAGCGAATCAATTGACATTCCTCCACGTCTACCACCACTCATCAATGTTAATCAGAGGCCAGGCGTCCGTTAAGATGCTTCACATGACAGTCGATAACATACAAGTGATAGTCCCTGACTTCTATGAGAAGGATTACCCGGATTTGTATAAAAGAGAAATTGAAAAACAACTCAAAGGGAAAGAAAAACTAAATAATCCTAATTTGAAGTCTAAATCACAAAAACAGTTCAACGCACAAACTAATAATTATGAATAGTATTGCTAATAAATGTTAAATTCTTGCCTTTATTTCTATTCAATATTTATTAATAGTCTGTTACTCTTAAGAATATTCTCTTTTGTGTTATTTTGTTTATTTTTCAAATGTATTTAATTATTATTTCTTGATTATTAATAATAAATCCAATATATTGTGTGTTTTAATATATTTTCTTAATAAGGATCCCAAGACCTAAATGGAGACCCAAGACCCAGGATCTAAATGTAAAACTGTTGAAATGAAAGTCTATTGAAATTCAGTTAATTACTCTCTAAACTGGAAGTTCGTAAGAATTCTTAACGTATTTATCTGACTATCATTTCAAACTAGCAATCAATGAAATGAATATCAAAAAGGTGTCAAAAACTATATCAAAGACTGTGAGCACAAGCAGTAGTAATACCAGAAATGGTGAGAAGAGTGAAGAAGACAAAGAGTGGTTAAGAGAATGAGTGGTCAAAGAAGGGCTCGGAGGGCAGTTCCGGTCCCATGGTTTTCCTCATAGGCTTCACTTTGAGACTGATAGGCGTTTTGGTGACCCATAGATTCAGTTAAGCATATTCCTCGACATGAATAACAAATATTTTTATATTTTGATTAAAATCTTTTTAATTTGTAAATAAATTTCTGTTATCAAATCAATTCTTTTACATATTTTTATTTAGATTTTATCAAACTTTACAATTAATAGAAATTTTGTCAGCAAATAGAGAACTGAATTTCTAAACAAAAAATAATTTCTTCATTAAATTAGATATCTTTTTGTGATTTCTTTGTTCAGATATCCGGCGAGTAATGGCTGTTACGACTGTTTGTGAGCCAACCAAATGGTCAGTACTCCCAATGCGAAGCCCATTACGAATGGAATCGGATGAAGAACTTTAGCTCTTTTGCTATCATCTGATCCGTCGTTATCACCCATTTTGTTGAACTTTTTTATGAATTAATTTTCAATCAATTCTTCTTTATGTGACTTTAATTCAGTCGATATATGGCTTTATATAAAGTATTCAAATAAATAGACCGTTGAATAGCACGCTATTGTTATGCATTTAATACGAGATTTAATTTAATTTCAATAAAATATAAACAAAAACCAAATTCAAATTATAATTTGAATGAATAGACAATGAATATACAGTATTATATAACTGTCACTATATTACTATATCACTATATATATTATATCACTATATCACTGCTTATATAACTATAAGCCGTCAATAATTACATAACTGTAAGAATCTGTAGTTATCAACAGAATTGGACTAATTTGTGGACAGAGAATGTGTTGTCTTTATGACTGGTTTTCTTGTTGTAAGTGCTGTCCATCCGCTCCTAACAGCAAAGATAAGAAGCAGTTGTTGGAGGAAATGCTACTCAAATCCATAGAAGCGCTTAAAAGGGATCAAAAGACAGTATGGGAACGACTTGAAGAATATAAAGTGCCATCACTTCTGTATCAAACATTTGTCGATGTGTTTCAAGAAAGAGGTTATGACTACGAGTCTAGGGTTGAGATCGGAAGGGGAGCGACGGCTAAGGTGTTCACAATCACCAGAATTAAGGACAACGCAAAGGTTGCCGTTAAGGCTATAAACATGAGAGGACCCGACTCTTCAATAGATCCCATCAAGAAAAGACTCCTTAAGAATGAGGTCTCGATTATGACTCAAATCAAACACAAGAATATTGTCTCACTTTTGGATCAATTCATAATCAATAGGAAGTGCTATCTGTTTATGGATTACGCCAAAGGAGACACTGTTGAGCACGAACTCCGGGCCACTGAACATGGATTTCATGAGAAGAAGACACAGAAGTATTTCAAACAAATAGGCCGAGCCTTAGAGCACCTGCACAGTCGTGGAGTCACTCATCGAGACATCAAACCAGTAAATGTCTTGATATTCATTAATACTGTCTACTAATGAGAAAACACTAAAATTATGTGATTTTGGTTTGAGTGGTGTTTTGAGTGGAAAAGACAATTGTCTGAAGAGAGACAATGAAGCCCTCGGAACCTATCCTTTTATGTCTCCACAACTGCTTAAAGTCGAGGTTTTCAACAAAACAATCGACAGACAAGTATTGAAAGAGTTGGAAACAATCGGCGGAAAAGTGAAAGACTTGAACCCAATGAAGGCAGACATCTGGTCATTGGGTGTGACTTTGCATTACATGAAAAGGCAAAGTGTTTCCGTACGACATCCAGAGGGAGGATATGAGAAGTTGCGAGAGACTAATGCATGTAATAGAGACCCAATTGGGTAAGAAGTATGAGTCCCTCCGAGACGACAATAACGCCAAATATAACACATCCGATGATCTCATTAATCTGATTGACGCGATGCTCGAGCCCTCGCCTAAGAGACGGATCGACATCTCCGGTGTTATGAGACATAAACGGTTTAAAGACGTGCCCGAAGTCACGACAGTTGACGACTAGTCCTCATATTTATAACCAAATCATTCACTCATTATAAACCAAAATATTTAAAATACTCTATACTTATAGACAGAATTAGTTTAACTATTCATACAGTATATCAGTCTCTTTTCAACAGTACTTCTTATTTATATAATAAAAACTTAGTTTAATGCAAACTTTCTATTATTCTCACATATTTTCTATATTTATACATATTTGTTCTAGATTCATTTCAAATGGTTAACAATAAGCTGATAATCGGTTTATTCAGTGATATATGATATACAGTGAGCTATTCTGATGTAAAAACTATTGCTAACTTTGATCTAATGTCTGCGAATCTATGCGAAAGTATGAGTGAACTGCCAGTAGATGTCATGCAATGGTTTAGAGTTATGTTTGTGTTGTGATTGGAGAGCATGTGTTGCACTGACTGTGAATCCAATGACCAGTGAATCCAATGTTGCAATCATTTGATCTTCACTTCAAATTGAGTGCAAAATGTTTTTACGATTCAATCGATTGAACCGTTGTTTGAATGCATTATCCGTTCAGTCGATCACTACTTCAGCGCATTGTCGCAGATGTGACACCACTTCCCATCACTTCCAGCAAACCATCGCTCATCTGAACCAAGATCTAAAGCCCAGCTCACAGTCCACTGACAGACCATTCCTGTCCGACAGACTGTTCCGCACAGAAGTCCTTCAAAGCGTCTTCACTTTGTCGCAGAATGTGGTGAAAGGGAACCGATCTGTCGATGAATTGATTGAATCACAAGATTTGCAACAATTGTGTCAAACCATCGAAGAAAACGTGAATTATCTTCGAAACCGCGAACTCATCAATAGTTTGCACTCTTTTCTGTTGATGGGAACCGATCCCAACACCAGTCTTGTAACCATTCTTACCATTTAATCGCAAGAATCTCTTGAATTCATTGATTGTTTTGATTCATAGATTCAGAATCTGGAGAATGAGGTCCTCTGGAGAGCAAAGTATATGACACTTAAGGATCTCTTGCAATGTCTGTCATATCACGTGAGATACCAAACAACTGAACAACAGATGAAAGTTGTGAA